AAAAAACCTAAATAGTTTATGGTAATTCTCAAGCCTAAAACCGAACATATACACGTGTCAATACAAAGCATACAATTATGCCAAGCATGTGAGCCTTCCACTTAGTCTTAGGGCATTCGGAAATTATATATATGGGAGATTTATAAAATTATCATTAATATCTTATGACAAGTTATTATAGGAATATGCTAAAAATTGAGAATTATATCACCTTGATTTTATAACAAATCAACCTAAAAGCCTTGGACTCTGCTTCGGCACTAGACCTGGAAAGAGGCGGTTACTTTTTGGAAACCCAAGTCAGTAGGTTTTTTCTGAGAAATACGCAGAAGCCAGTAGCGTCTGCTATCGGGGCAGCCAGCCCAGTCGGCATCGGAGAATGCAAAGAACCCATATCAAATAAAATTCATACCACTTATTTAGTTTCAAATTTAAATGCACTTCTACTCATACCAAATGAAATTCATATCATTTAAATTTGGACATTTCATGCCATAATAAAAACCACCCTCAGTTTATTAATCATAATACTCAACTATTATTTTATTCTAAAATTTAGTGTGATATAATATCATTAAAATCATTTTTTAAATTAACAACCCAATTTTATTATATGCAAATATTTGATATTTCTAAGAAACAAAATTTTATACTCTAATAGCTTACGCAACACGAATTTCTACTTACGTTGTGTAGTATAAGAGCCAAAACGCGACAAATTACGTCATAAATATTTTAAAACACTAAAAAAAATATAATTTCAATATAAATGGTCGTTAAGGTGAGATTATATTGTTTATTGTGAAACCTCGTGCGTCAAGGACTAAAATTTTAAATATTTATTTGTTGAAAATTAGGCACATCATTTATTTTTTAAAAGAAAACAAATAAATACTATGATAGGATATCAACCAATTTAATGCGTGATATATCATGTTTATCAGTTTCATATATAGCATGTTTCGCCTAAGTGATTTTAATTGCAATAAATATGGAATGTTGCGGTTGTGGATATATTAAGGGATGATCTTTATTTATATTGAAATTAAAAGATAAATTTGTTTTCATAAAATGAAAATTACCTAAAAATAAAATTTCAAAATTAAAGCTCTATTGAGTCAATGACCACTTGTCGAGGAAACTTAATTAAACACATTCAAATACTCATAGAAACTAATGTATAAGTGATTTTGAGTAATATATAAACATCATTTAAGATCGAAATTCAATGTTTTATTATGTTCGTTGGAATTGGTACTGAAGACACGATATTGGGTATTAAACTACCATTTAATGGGTACTGTCTAACACTAGGAGTGGTACTACTTTTACAAACATTGACCAGAATTAAAGTAATTCATATTGGTTGACCAAAGTAGGTACTAATAATTAAAAACAGGTACTGAATACAAACATTATTGGTACTATTTCTAGGAAAAAAGGTACCATTTTACTAGCCGTGATTTTATTAATCCGTCACGTCTACCATGTCAAGTAGATCGTTCCCGCATGAGTTTGTTGAAAACTAGACGAACCTAAAAAATATAGATGGAATTTAGACTAGTTATGCGTGTTCGATGAGATGAAGTGTATCAATCAATGAGATGAAGTGTATTAGTAGTGTTTGTTCATTAGTGTTGAGT